GCGATAATATAGTCCCGTCTGGAGAATCAATCGGACTCTGCTAATAGAAGAAAAGGAAGCTGTTCAGCTGTTACTTTGAGGAGGACTGTATCTTTAAGTACTCTGTCTCACATGATCAAAAGGCATCTCGAAATGTGGCGGACAGACACGCTTTAATTTGTTGAATGCATGCAGTCACCAGCATCAAAAACACAGTATATTTCTGTTACAGGCTGCTGATTAGAGATCAAGATCAACAAATAACTCAATTCTCTTACCCTTATTTTTCATTTATGCTTTCTAAGTTTGGAATATTTCATCATGCTTAATTGCAGTGCTTCAGATTTACCTACAGATTCCACGATACAAAGTTTAGCTTGTGTCTTTACACAACACTGCAAACCCTTAGCGTATCGGGCAAATATCTGCATTCCACAGGCTATCTCTCGCCGCTGCAGCTCGAGGCAGAACAAATCAGCTCTTGAGTTAGAGAGCGAGAAAATACTTCTGCTATGCTGCCTGTTAGCTGCAGCATATGCATGTGTGTAGAAAGCCTGAGAATCAACAACAGCTGATCCCTTTTGCGCATGAAAGAGACAGACTCTGATCCTATAGCGACAAAACCACTCTGACCCTGTGAGAGCCAAAGCAACAGACTACTGATGTTTTCATTTTACGAGCATTATTTGTTTTTGTGTACCAGCAGCATCGATCAGAAACTGTTTTACTGAGCAAAGCACAGGAAGGTTACTGCTGGTTTGCAGCTTTGCAGAGGTTGCACAATCCAATCTGCTCCCTCACCTCTCGCCCTACAGTCTGTCAGTCCGCTGGTCATATGACCAAAAGTGTGAGACGGGAAGGGAGGGAGAGCGATGCAGAGAGAGGGAGAATTTGAGGGCAACATACTGTTAGCAAGGGGAGAGGTAAACAAAGCAGGAGATGGCAGGGACTAAAATGACCTTAGGTTTAACTGAGGGAAGATTTAAGAGGGAGAAAGGGGAGTGAGAGTCATTAATACAGCTCAATTCTCCATAAAGGGCCATTGTTCTTTCTCGGATATATCAGCCTGTCCTGCTCTCCTGATCAGGCTTTAACGAGGGGTTAACAGTGAATGACTGTACAGTAAATACTACACAGAGCCTGGCTACTATATAAAGCATTGCTCAAGCCTGCCGGAACAGTGTGTGAACACAGTGACACAAGTTCTGGCAGGTTTACTCATTTCACCTATCAGTGCTTGTTTGACCAAGGTCCTGAGTGCTGTTTGGTTTTGTCAGGTTTGTTCCTCAAATGCCTGCAAGTGAGAAGATGATTCATTGATAAAAATGATTTAGTTACTGATTGATTTCAGGACAGAGATGTGTCATCCTCATTAGATTCAATTTGTACTTTTGAGCCACTGAAAAAATACGAGAATTATAAAAGGAAAAACCAACACAATCATCATGACTCATCGATTTTGGCATCAAGACTGTTTGTTTTTCATAAATCACAGGCCTGGCTTAGCGCAGAATTTATAAGAAGTAACCAGAGAGGCCGAGTTAACCATTTACAGACTGTTTCTGTTGGCAGATGGTCGACAGCAGTTCGGGAACACGTCAGCCTGTGCAGTCAGCTTTGACCTGAACGTTCAGCATGCAGACAGGACTGTATAAGGAGTGTAGACACGCTTGTTTAACTTTGACAGAGTGTTGTCGAAAACTGCTGAGCTGCAATGACCACACATCTTTTGCAATGTCTGGTATCAGCAGTGGCACAAGCTCTTCTGCCTTGTCATCTTTCAGCTGCCCTGAGGATGATTAGGGTCAAAGGTTTCTGATGACAAGAGTGTTTTTTTAACATTTCATGATGATGCTGTTGATATTTTGGAAATAGATAAATTTAAAAGCCTCCCCTGAAGACATTTAATGGTTAGAGACTTCAGTCAGGTGCTGCACACTAATACTGTAACCTCAAATACACTTGAGAATGAAGATTTAAAGGAATACTTGACTCACAAAATGATCATTTGTATATCAGTTACTCGCCCCATGTTACCTTAAATTCACAAAGAAAACTTTGTTTTACTGGTATGGGACCACGGTGAACGAAGAATCCAAAAACAGAGAAAACTCTTGATAGATTGAAGTAATAGGGGTCCATGTTTAACAACTCTCACACAACTCCTGCAGTATAATCAAAGTCTAATTTATCCAGTCATACGCTCAGTGTGAGACGCAGCCCCCTTTTTTAATCCATTCATTCAACAGTTTCTCTGTTTTTGGATTCTTCGTTTACTGTAGAGGAGAAAAAGTTACCACAAGGTGAGTAATTCATAAAGAAACAATCATTTTGTGGGTGAAGTATTCCTTCAACAGTGCCCACTGCTGCCTCCTGACCACAAACTCACCACATCAGAAACACTGAATAAACAGTGTGCTGATTTACAACTAAACAAAGGAAAATTCCTTTGTTATCTGTGGTTAAAACAAAAGTGTGTGCACAGCAACATTTAGGAACATGCTGACCAGACATGATGACGTACTGACACATGTGTTGTAACAAAACATGTTGTAATATTCCAGTGTGTGTTGTAGTCAGTGGAGCCAGAAGTGATTATTGTCCTCTTAATTCATTTGAGTAACCAATGGAACGTTTGGTCTATAAAATGTAAAAAACAAACTATAAACCAAGTTCATATACTTGCAGAACTTGGTTGATGAGGCTGTCAAAACTATTAATCGGCTAACTGATTTATCAACTAATTGCTTAAGCCCCAGTTTATTTGTACAATATTTCATCCTTTCCCTTGATGATGTTATGTTGTTATACATGTTATGTCTTGTTATATCTGTTATGTTATATCTTCTGTTATATCAACTCTGTCACGTTTTATTTTATTTTATTTCATTTGATATCATAAAGATTAAACAATCTGTTAATCAAGGAAATAATCAAAAGAGGACTTACTATGGAATATAATGACTGCATCCTTCTAGAGCTGCAACTAAGTTTTATCTTTATAATAGATGAACATGCTTCTTTTATTGATTAGTTGATTAATAGTTTGGTCTATAGCATGTCAGAAAAGAGTAAAAACTGCATGCACTGGTGGTATCTAATTATCTAAAGTCCTGTACCTAAGTACAATTTAAAAGTACTGTTACTTAACTTGAGTATTTCCATTTTATGCTGCTTTATATTTCAACTCCACTACACCTCAGAGGCAAATATTGTACTCTTTACTTCACTGCATTCATCTTTAAGCTTTAGTTACAACTTTCTTTGTAAACTTAGACAATCATTACATAATATCAACAACTAAAACAAATACATTGTGATTTACTATCAATGATTAAACTACCAAGCAGTTTATAAAGCAATAGACATAAGCTCCACCTTTATTGACTGCAACATTAAAGCTATAAAACAATAACATGATAAACATTAAACTGAAATGGGGCACTCCGCATAATGAGTACTTTTACTTTTTGTACATGAGTAAAAGTGTAAAACTATAATATACTTAAGTATGATTTTAAACGCATGACTACTTAAGTTAGTACTTAATTACTTCTAGACAAACTCTCTTTTAAATCTTCTCTTAAAAATCACTTACTGTGAGACGTTTTCTTAACTGATGGCACTTTTTATACTATTTTATCCTGTTTACTTTATCTCGTACGTGTTTTTTTTTTTAAGTTATTATTGTTTTTATTGTAATTTTGTTTTGAAATGTGTTATATACACTCAGCAGCCACTTTATTAGGTACACCTTGCTACCTTGCTAGTACCAGGTTGGACCCTCTTTTGCCTTCAGAGCTGCCTTAATTCTTGTTGTCATAGATTCAACAAGGTGCTGGAAACATTCCTCAGAGATTTTGGTCCATATTGACATGATAGCATCACGACCCCCCCCCCCTTGCTTTCTTTTTGTTTTTTGTTTAGTTGTCCATTTTATTTTATTTAAAAAAATATTTTCTATACCTATTTATGTATTATTTTATTGTTTTAAACAGGATGATAAATAGAATGATGCGTTTTATTGTATATATTATATTTTGCAATTTTTGTGTCTTTTTCTATACATGTATGACAAATCACCTTTAAGGATATTTTTGATTTTTGACTCGTAGAATATTTGTAGAATATTGTTTTTTTTTTTTTAATATTTATTTTATATATTGTGCCAGATTTTCCGCTCTCACTTTTTTAAAATGTATTATTTTGTTTTCTTTTTGTTTTTTGTTGTTAGTTTTATTTTGAAAAAAAAAGGGTTTTCTATAACTATTCATCTATTTTTTCATTGTTGTAATAGAGCGATAAATAGAACACATTTTATTAAACATTATATTTTGCAAATTTTGTATCTTTTTCTATACATGTATGACAAATCATCTTTAAGTATATATATATTAATATATTTTCAATATTTATTTTATATAATGTGCCAGAATTTTTGTTCTCACTTTTTTTAAATTTATTAATTTTTCTTTTTTTTTTAACCGTTAATTTTATTTTATTTTAAAAAAATGTTTTCTAAAACTATGTATCTATGTTTTTGTTGTTTTAAATAAATAGAAAATACATGAAAAATAAATAGGACTGATAGAATATTTGTGGAATATTTTTTTTATATTTTTTTCCAGCTGTAAACAGACGATGATTTAAACTTTTAATCACTTATTTCAGCTGTCAGCGATTAATTTTCTTTGATCGACTATTTAGCAGTTGTTTCCGCTCTTTAAAGCGTTATATTTTACGCAGACTGACATAAAGTTTCAATTCCCCCTCAGGAGTCTGCGCACAACCGAGGAAACAAACTGAGAGGTCGACAACTAAAGTATAAAGCACCGGATATCTTATCTTGCCCTGAACATAAACACTGTTGTAACTGCGACATGGCAACACAACAACTGTCTCGAGCGCTGCTGTGAGATCCCACGCACAATAACGTTTGAATATATCAGTGATTTGTCCACAGGGCGCGTCCACTCAGCACATGAACCCGACACTTTCCACTTTAAAACACATCCACTCACCCAGAGCAGGGCTTCAATGGCAGCTGGTAAACTCCATGTCACATGAGAGAAGCTCCGAAATCACTTCAGGGAGTTTCCGCTCGACTTGTCCGACCGCAGGAGGTCTTTCCCCGGCCGCTGGCTGAAGCTCTCCGCCCTGTCAGGAAACCAGCGGATCTGTGTTCACGGTAATGTGCGGAGCTGCTGCTCTGCGTCGCCACGGGCACTCATCCAAAGGCTGCTATGCTGGTGGAGGAGGAATTTATGCATCAACATGACTCTGCAACTCTTGAGTACACTGCAAACAATGTACGCATGTACAGCGACCTACATGGCAACAAGTCAGGAGAAGCATTCCTCAAACTGAAACTGAACCTCGGCCAAAGTAGGACACATGCAGGAATTATTATATAACTGTTACCCTGCTGAATACACGCTGCTGCAGGAGCATATCAAGAACCCCCCCACTTATGCATCCGCCCCAAACAAACACACACACACACACACACACACACACACACACACAGAGGGCTACAAAGGAAATCCACAGCAGTTCCCAGGAAGTTTGATCAATGATTCATGCAGAAAAAATAAAACAGACTCTGGATCTGCCCTGACGAATCATCTTGGCTGATGGTGACATGTAATCTATCAGCAGTAGGAGGCAAAGTAAATCCCATAATACCATGTACAGTTTGAGGGATTTAAGTAAAGGACACTTTATCTGCTACAACAATATCCCACGAGGAAGTTATAACATTAGACCCATACAGAAATTATACAGCAAACACCACTAGGTATGATACAGTCTCTGTTAAATAAATACTAAATAAATGCAATGTTTTTTGTTTTTTTTTAGCAGACCCCATAGTCTTTTACTATAGGCCTTTACCAAATGTTGGTTTGGTAAAGGTAATTGCAGAACATGAAAAAAAATCAAAATGACAAATCATGTAAATGAATACTTGTAATACACTGGGATACCAACATATATCAATTTATGATCATGGAGTTAGTCCCAGTATTATTTCCTTTGAAAACATCTTAAAATGGTGAAAAAATCATATTGATATTTGTATTTTTTTTCAACAGATACATAATGACATAACATTAAATTTATGGTATTGACAACAGTGAATATTCACTCTTTTTTATTTCATACAAGATATATATTCATTATCTTACAATCACTACCTTTACTATAAAAGGTCACTTCAATGATTTGGTCGAGCATGGTTTTAGACCGTAAAAGAAATCATACTTAACAAAATTATTTCAGTTTTTCTACTGAAATAATTTTGCTAAGTATGATTTCTTTTACGATTTCTGTCCGATGAAAAACACGTTTCTCCACTTTTGATGATTTTGACTTTCTACACGCTTTTTGATGGACACTTCTGACAGCCAATGGAGATACGTGTTGAACAGATGATGTAATAGACGTCTTTCCATTGGTCATTTGGATATCAAACGCTAACGGTTGCTAGGGGATATTATGGACACTCCATGCACTGTAGAAAGTCAAAATCGTCATGTTGGACAAGCTTAGTTTCACTACATTTACCATAAAAGGCCAAATAAAGCGTTTGGTAGAGCATGTTTTTAAAAAATTATATGACCCTTATTAGATTTTTAGTTTTTGCCTAAAGTTACATAAATGTGTTCAGTGAGACCTCTGAAACTGTAACATCTTGCACAAACATGCCTACCTTTGAAAGTCCCACCACACACAGCCTCCTCATGATCTGGAGTGACTTCTTTGTTACTAACTTCCTGTAGGAGTCAAATTGAAAAGACACAGCGACATCTAATGGACATATTTTAGCTTAATATACCTAAACCGAATGGTAGAGATAACTCAGTCAGGTTGAGTTAAATTCAACATATTTTTCATTAAGACACAGTGACTCAAATAGTGCTCTACCAAATGGTTGAGCAAGACCTTAAAGGTTTAAAAAGGGGGGTTGGGGGTCCTCCTGGAAAAAAACCCACAATTTGAATCCCATTTCCTGTTTTTTAAATACATTTAGGAACTATGGTAAACAAAATCCAGCAAATAATTACGTTGGTCATCGTTAAAAATTCTGCTAGAATAGTCCTAGATATGCCAAATAGTAGGTGGGGAATAGGCACAACAGGACCCCCCCACCCCCAATGGAAATTACACTTCAGTTTCCATCATGAAGACAGCAATGTAACACAAGACAATGCAGTGCCAAAAAATAAATAAATCACATAGCTAAATTTATACAGATAAAGTGAGACAAAAAACAAAAAATACAAATGACATTCAACACAAATACAGCAAAAATGGTGTGGCTATTTACTTTCTGTTATGTTTCTTTAAAAGAACATGAGACCAAACTTTCTTTTGGTAATTATTGGCCCTTTAGGTTAGCGATTCATCCACTCAGCAAAATAAATGCAAGTCCAATCAAGTGTATCACATACCTGATAGTAGGAGGTAGGTGGTAAGATGGTAGCAGAGACCTGTTTCCTAATAAACACAGTTGGGGACATTCAGGTGGTGGTTTATACAACGCCTACCCAAAACTTCTGAGCACTGGTTTCCTAAAGTAGAAGCAAAAGAATAACAGTGAAAAAAAGGAAAGCACTTTCATTTTTCATTTCATTTTGACACCTCCATCTAAGGAGGTATCAGTCATTTCAATATTGGGGGGACACGTAAGACATGGGGGGTAGGAGGTCCTCCTCCAGGAGTATTTAAGTGTCAATAGGCCTGTTTCCACTGCAGGAACTTCGGGGTAATTTTACAGGGCCGGGGTCGTTGGTGCATGTCTCCACCACAGGAACCACCCCCGAAGGACAGAGTTCCGGAACTTTTACAAGGCCTAAACAAGTCCCTGCCTCGGAGTAGGTACTCAGAACGGCCCCGAGAAACTCCTGGCTGGGGCTTGGGGATTACTTGGTGCTGATAGGATATACTCAAGGCGGGATGTGACATTTTGTAAATAACAAGATGGTTATCGTAGTTTAGCTAGGCTAACCGTTAGCCATTAGCGGTCTCTGTAATAAGTCAATAGGCCCATTTCCACCGCAGGAACTTCGGGGTAATTTTACGGGGCCGGGGCCATTGGTGCGTGTCTCCACCGCAGGAACCACCCCCGAAGGACAGAGTTCTGGAACTTTTACAGGGGCTAAACAAGTCCCTGCCTCAGAGTAGGTACTCAGAACGGCCCTGAAAAACTCCTGGCTGGGGCTTGGGGGTTACTTGGTGCTGACTGGATATACTCAAGGCGGGATGTGACGTCAACAGAAAGCAACAAAATAGCCGGCATTTTTAAAACTCAGCAGACGAGGGTTAGCTCGTTCATATAGCTTCCGCCGTCATGTAAACAAACTCAAACGGTCAGTGGAAAAAATATTTTTTTCCAGCGGATATCTTAGTTACAACATGACTGAGCTAGCAAAGCAGTTTTGTGTTGATATATGTAGTATTTATTCAGTTTTGGGAAATCACGATGTCTAGAAAGCATCAGCTGACAGGGACAGCTAACAGCGGCAGCAAAGCTAACATCAGGACGTCATCTGCCTCCCGTTGTCGGATACGACATGAAACTACTCCAGTTAGCTCAGTCATGTTGTAACTAAGACATCCGCTGGAAAAAAATATTTTTTTCATGGGCCATTTAGTGAATTTAGTGAGTTATTACAGACACCGCTATCGGCTAACAGCTAATGGCGTCCCTACGCTGCTACATCGCCCCGGTCAAAATGGTCGCGCAATGATTACATCACATCCAGAGCCCGTAACTTTACAGGAACCTTCCTCCTACTCCGCTCAGTGGAGACACGGCGGTTGAGAGGGCCGAGCGAGAGGACGTTCCTGTAGTAGTTCCTGCCCCCCAAATAGCACCAGGAACTTCTTCAGTGGAAACGGCCCTAATAAACGGTCCATGAAAAAAATATTTTTTCCAGCGGATATCTTAGTTACAACATGATTGAGCTAGCAAAGCAGTTTTGTGTTGCTATGTGTGGTATTTATTCAGTTTTGGGAAATCACAATATCTAGAAAGCATCAGCTGACAGGGACAGCTAACAGCAGCAGCAAAGCTAACATCAGAACGTCATCTCTTAAAAGCCTCCCGTTGTTGGATACAACATGAAACTACTCCAGTTAGCTCAATCATGTTGTAATTACGACATCCGCTGGAAAAAATATTTTTTTCACGGATCGTGACTGGAGTTATTACAGACACCACTAACGGCTAACGGCGTCCCTACGCCCCTTTGACCGCCCCGGTCAAAATGGTCGCGCAACGATTTCATCACATACAGAGCCCGGTAACTTTGCAGGAACCTTCCTCCTACTCCGCTCTCTCAGTGGAGACACGGTGGTTGAGAGGGCCGAGCGAGAGGACGTTCCTGTAGTAGTTCCTGCCCCCCAAATAGCACCAGGAACTTCTTCAGTGGAAATGGGCCTAATCACTTCATTTCCTGCATTCTGGCATTCTTGTTATGCACCAGTTTGTGCCTTTTTGCATAATTTTAAGGTGGAAATGTCATTAATTTCGTCAAAATAAGTCATTTGCTACTTTCATGTTTTTATTTAGGTGGACAAATGCAAATATTGAGGGGGACGTGTCCCCTGCGTCCCCCTGAAATCTACGCCTATGCTTCCAACACTAGTTATAATCCATATTTTCAACTTTAATTGATGTGTGATAATATGTATAATTTTGTTGTGTGAAAATAGCCTGCAGCACCTGCAAGCTATCACAATCCATTCATCGAACGCGCTTGTTGTGGTCATTGATAAAAATTAGGCCTTTTCTTTCCTCCAGTTCCTCCTGCATGGGAGATCTCCAGGTTTTAGCAGACCAGCTAGGAGACATAATCCTTCTCTCCAGGGTCTCCTCCTGCTCAGTACTGCTTGGAACTCACTCAAAGGAGGGGGCAGACTAGATGGCAAAGCCACCCTCAGTGGCATCTGAAATGCTTTTGGTCTCTATCCAAAGCTTGTGACCTTTGGTGATGTTTGGAACAGACACTGGTTAATTGTTTGAAAAAGTAAATCTCAACTCAAGGTCTTCCTACTAGCTTGTTCTGGTCTTCAGCAGTGGATAGACTTTAGTTAGTCATGAAGTTGGCTCCTTGGATCTCTTTTCCACAGTGGCTTAGAACTTGAGTGAGAAAGGGGTTAAGAGACGCAGTTAAAACCTGGAAAGATCTAGTAAGTGGACCTTTGGTTAGTAAGATAATTTTATCAGACATACTCATAATCATTGACTAGGGACAACCATGTATCTCCAAATTTGGAGATACAGTTATGTGTCCTTTTATGGGTCCAGAAAATTCTCCCACTTCTCAAAATAAATGAACTATTTAAAGACCAAATTGTTGATGTGAAAGCTGAAACAAAGCTGTTTTTCTAACTGCATGAAAGGTTGTTGTTTTGGGAGTAAGCTGTTCAGTG